CCTACTCATGCTCTCTCTTTAAAAAAAAAAAAAGTCTATAACATATATATGTACATATATATATACATATATATGTATATCTATAAGAATATATATAAGAATCATTTCACAGTGATAAAAAGGTACAAAAGACCAAAAATTCTAATTATATATATCATCAATAACAGAATTTCAAAATACTAAGGCAAAAATTGACAGAATAAAGGGAGAAATAGACAAATCTGGTTGGAATGTAAATTTGAGAAAGTCTCCCAGAAAATAGAGCAAAAAGACACAGAGAAAGAAAACTGGAGAGACAAAGGAAAATCGGAGGACCAGTACAGGTCTAATGTCCAATATCTTGACCCTTTCTTCTGCTGACTTTACAGTTCCAGATACCTTAAATGTGGTCAGCCTTGTTTCCCCAGAACTCACTCTTGGCCTTGCTCCCCGGCTGCCCTGGAAAGGGGCTCCTTGTTGTCACTCAGCGAAGCTGTAGTTAGACTGTCATGGAAACAGTCTTCTCAGATTATCTTCTTCAGGCACCTCCGTTTAACAAAGTTGCCTTCAAGCTTGCTCCTCAGTTTTACATTAATTGCTTTTCATATTCATTTATATGTAAATAATTGTTGATAAAAATAAATATTTGGTTGAGGGAGAAAAATGCATAAATTATAACTCAGATGTTTTCTGAGCTTAAAGAGTACTCAGTCATCTGGAAGGGAAAACAGGAAACAGGAAAAGAAAATAATAAAGAGCAAGGTTGGGAAGCTTAAAATGAACCCAGGGGGAGGTCTCCAAATCAACTGGGCTGTGACAAATCCTTCCATTTCCATGGCCCTGGGGGGCCCCCCCGCAGATTCAGAACACTCCTCACTTCCATCCTGGGACCCAAAGAGAATGCTCAGGAGGATACCTAAATCAGTTGATTTCAGGAGTTGATTTACTTCCTCGGGGTATCAAGATCTAATACTGATGTCCTAATGCCTTTCTCAGACATCTGTGTCTGCTCTTTTGATGGATGGGTCACACTTACTCTAAGGAAGAGTTGTTTCTCAGGGACCTAATCCCCTTCTGCTGTCTCCCTCACTTTCCTTTCCCAAGCATCTACCTTTCCCCACAAAAAAACCAGGACTTAGCTCCCAAGTCAGGGGTTCCCTTTCTTAGAGACTCATCCTCTACATGTCATTGAGAATGGGAATACACTGGGACAGGTTGGTTAAAAAGGTTTCCTGTTGGGGCGCCTGGGTGGCTCAGTCGGTTAAGCGTCCGACTTCGGCTCAGGTCATGATCTCACGGTCTGTGAGTTCGAGCCCCGCGTCGGGCTCTGTGCTGACAGCTCAGAGCCTGGAGGCTGCTTCCGATTCTGTGTCTCCCTCTCTCTCTGACCCTCCCCCATTCATGCTCTGTCTCTCTCTGTCTCAAAAATAAATAAACGTTAAAAAAAAAAAATTAAAAAAAAAAAAGGTTTCCTGTAATGACCCTTGCAGGCAAACAGAGATTGACTGAGGAGGCCAGAGCTGCCCCTGAGACCTGAGGACCCTTGAGTAACTACCATGGACTTCTGTCACTCTTCTAAGATCTCCATATTGCTGAGAGGGTATCAAGTATAGACTTCCGACAGGCTCACACACTAGTATTTCCCTCAGGAATAGGATAAAAGTATTCTCTGGAAGAAACTAATATTAGTAAACTCAGGAATGGTCCCAGGGTGGCCGATTTGACATCCTTCCAGAATATTCCAAAACACCAAGTTGTTAATTACTCATGCCTAATGTACTTGGGTCTTTCTCTACAATGCCACCCTACAGCATCCACTCCCCTCAGATAATGCTTCCATGTCCCGAAACTCTCTAGATATATTAGGTACTCTGCTATAATTACTTGACATTCAATAAACCCTGGGGCCATAATGATCCATTGGAAAATACTGAAAAAAAAAATTCAAAGTCACTTTTATCTATTAAACCAGGTTGTAACATTACATCCTGAGACAAGGAGATCAGAGGCAAATCCAGGGGCACTTGATGTTCTTCCATAAACACTATTTTGGAAAATAAAAAAAAAAACATGAAGTCTCTTGAAATGATATAAAAATGTTGACAGAAGGT